CAATACAAGCCAGGAACGCAACTCAACCAGCATGCGTCGTAAGCCCGCTGCCTCGCCCTCAACGCATCAGTCGCGCAATACAAGCCAGGAACGCAACTCAACCAGCAAACGTCGTAAGCCCCGTGACTCGCCCTCAACGCATCAGTCGCGCAATGCAAGCCAGGAACGCAACCCAACCAGCATGCGTGGTGAGTCCGGTGCCTCGCCCTCAACGTATCAGTCGCGCAATACCAACCCGGAACGCAACTCAACCAGCATGCGTGGTGAGTCCGGTGCCTCGCCCTCAACGCATCAGTCGCGCAATACAAGCCAGGAACGCAACTCAACCGGCATGCGTGGTGAGTCCAGTGCCTCGCCCTCAACGTATCAGTCGCGCAATACCAACCCGGAACGCAACTCAACCGGCATGCGTGGTGAGGTTACTCCGAACCCGTATGGAAAAAGCAGCGTTGGAGGCAATTGGAATCACGGGGGGAATGAATTCGGAATCGGTGACACTTCAGTTGCGGCTGCTGGCCTCAGTTACCTTGCGGTTCTCGCCGTGACCATCGCCGTGGCGATAGCGCCTCTCTGAGCAGCAGCAGCAGCGGCTGGGCACAAAAAAGTGCGGTGGTGCAATAATATAAATATATTTGTGGCCTGTGGAGCCACGCACTCAATATATAAATCGCGGTTATAATGCAATGCACACATAAACTGCGCCTTGGCGCTCCTTCTTTAAATCAACTGCTACTCTCGCTCTGTACTGCCACCATTCCCGCGAAGGAATGGAACTAGTTTTTGTTTTATATTGTGTTTCTGTTTGTTTTTGTTTTATATTGTTTTTCTTTTTGTTTTTGGTGGGAGACCTTTCTTTCTTTCTGGACTGCGCTCAAGGGGAAGAAGGAGAGCATGTGTGTGTGTGCTGGTCGTCCCACTTGCTGCTGCGCGTCCCACTGCTCGGTGTACGTGCCCACGCTTTGGCTTCACTTTACAGGGTTTGTGTTTTGTGTTTTTATATTTGTTTGTTTTTTTTGTCGACTGCGCCCATTCCTCGCGCTGCGTGTGTGTTCTTACAATGAATTTCTCTTTCTGCGCCTAGCTGCCATTCGTGTTGATTTGCCGTTTCATTGCATCTTGGAGTCCTTCCTTTTCTTATTGCTTGTTTTTTTTGTCCGTGCATATCCTCTGCATGTGTAGGAGCTAACACACACACACACACCATGTTGCTCACGCTGTGGAGCGGTGTGAACCTTTGAGGACGCGTGAGGGCACGAGTGTTCTGGTGGCGGCGGCCCTCGCCAACGTGCTCATGGCGCTCAAGCCGTGATGGTTTGGCCGCGAGAACGGGATGGAGGAGGTGTTGCTGCAATTTAGGTCCGTGCGGCCGCTACCCCGCGCTGTAGACAGAGGAGGGCTGCGTCTTCGAGTCCGTCGCCATCCTGTGGCACATCGCGCGTCTCGATCCGGGCGGCGGCTTCCTGCAAGGCTGAACACTGCCAGAGAGCGGACGGGTGGAGTTGCAGGCAGCTCCTCTGGGTCGGCTGGCCGACCGGGTTGCAGTGCGGTGGTGGTGCAGTGCCCGGTGCCGGGGGATGCGAGTTGCCCGCGCTGCCGTTGGTATGCCAGGGTTGGGGCGGGCATTGTTCCACCAGAGCGGGTATCCGCGGCTTCGGCGGTTCGTTGGGGTGAGGCGTGGCCTCGGGCCGTTCCGCTGCACGCGCAGACCCGACACTGTCCCTCTGTGTCTCGCAGGGTGCAGTGGAGTGGTTGGAGCGTGTTCCGGCTGAAAGGACTGGCGCTGGCACCGGGGCGCGGCGGACTTGTGCTCCCTGCACGAGGCGCGTTTCTTGTCTGAGGAATGGGGTGGCTTCCCTTTTCCTTCGGCGGCTGGCTGACGGGCTTCGCTTCGCCACCGCAACGAGGCTGTGGTCTTTGAGTATTTGTCGGGGGCGGCGTTGGGGCCACACACCGGCGCAGGGAGGAAAGCGGCAAGGCGCCGAAGGCTGCTGCAGCGTCACGGCTTCAGTGCTTTGCTGTACGCAAAGGATGATAACTTGTTTGCCGTGTGCGAGAGAAGGGACAGTGAGACAAGCAGCCTTCTTCTTGTGCCCCTCACCGAGCAGCTGCAGCGGGCCACAAGGCTGGGCGGTCTGCAGCTCTCCCGTGCCTGCGGATGGGTTGGTTGGCTTTTTGTCCGGCGCTGGGAATGCCACCCAATGGGCCGGTGATTACCGTTGGATGAACGCTGCGGTGAGTGGCGCGACAAGGATTGCCGACGGCTTTAATCTGACAGGGTCCGCGTTGCGGATTGTGTGGCCAGTGATTGAGCGGGCGGGGGCGCCGGCGTACAGCTCTGCTTTGCTGGGCGTGAGCGTGAGCGTGGGCCGGCACGTGCAGGAGCTGAGCCCGAGCTAGGATGGGATGAAGCGCTGGCGGACAGGCGGCAGGGGAGGCGTGAGTGCGGCAGCGCCGCCGTGTAGGGAGGGGGCGGCGTGCCAGGTGGCACTGGCGGTCTGGGACGCCAGCGGCAGCGCCTACGTTGACGGCGAGAGGGTGGGGCCGCTGGGGGGGCACTCTCGTGCCTGCGTCGGTTCCCGGCAGCACGACGGACGCGGGCGATGGGGCGGCCGCCGAAGAAATACTGCTGCCGCCGCAGGATGAGTTGGCGCACGTACTTTTTGGGGGGCGGCGAAGCCGGTGCGGGGTGGGGTGGGGTGGGGTGGGGGGGGGCAGGGAACGACGTGACGCTGACGAACGTTTTTCTGTACAGCCGGCTGCTGGACGCCACGGAGCTGAAGGCGCTCGTCGAGGAGAAGCTCGCCCCTCCGGTGACGACAGAAGCGCCGTCGACCACGGCCCCTCCGCAGGTCACGCGCGGCAGCTCCGTGCATGGGTGTGTGGCTGCCTGTTTCTCTTCTGAGCGGAAGGGAACAACAGGGAAGGAGGTGGACCCGCGCTGGAAACCGCGCCAACTTCTTTTTGCTCGTGATTTTCTTTGTTTTGGGAGCCCCGTTTTCCTTCTTTTTTTTTTGCTTTTTTGCTGTGCACACACCCTCCCGTTGGGAGGCGGGCTCCTCCTCCACACACGCCGAAGAGGGCCGCCGCGCTGCAGCGATGAGGCGTCCACCAGGCGGGGCAGCACCGCTGCGCAGAAGGCCCCCATTAAATGCAACTGACTGAGTGGGCATGCGGTGGACCACAATGAGGAGAAGCAAAAAAGAATTTTCTTATTCTTCTGGGCAAAAAAAAATATGCGCGTACAGACGTTTTTTTTTATTGCAGCCGCACGCTGCTGCACGCCAGCCTGCTACTATTTTTTATTTTGCGGAGAAAACATCATGGAGGACGACAATTGTTTTTTGGGGTTTGTG